ATGATAATTAATTGATAAAATATGATTTGATATTATTTTTTATTTGGATAAATATTTAATTTAATTTGTTATATTATTAAAATAAATATTAAAAATATCACTTTAATTTTTTATGTCATCAAAAGATATTTTTTTTATTAGTATGTGGGACCCATTTCGGTAAATTTTAGTGACATGGGACCTATTTGAATGAATTTACCGCATAGTAACAATGACATGTCAAAATAATTGTCCATGTCATCGCTTTGCTAAATTTTGCTCTCCACGTCATCAAAAGAAATATAAAAAATGCTACATAAGCGAATTTAACGGCTCAAATTAACGGAAGGATTAACGGAGTGCATTTTGTATAGTTGAGGGATCAAAAAAGTGCAAAAAATTGTTGAGGGATCAAAAATGTGCATTTCATAAAGTTAAGGGACCAAATTAAGCATTTAACCTTTTTTTTTATATATATATACCTATAAATGATATTAAAATTGTCAAAAAAAAAAATTGAGATACGAGAGTGAATTTTGTTGATCCTTAAATAATTTTTGTGTTTAAACTATTATTTTTTAAAATTTTATTTAATTGTGTTAATTTAATTTAATAATTTTATTTAATAAATAAATGTTAATTAAAAGCTTCTTCATTAATTTAAATTTGATGACTTAGATAATTAAAAATGATTAGAGGGAGTAACATATAATTATAAATTTATAAATTTATTTGAGTTAAATGTGATATTTTAATATTTATCATAGAAAAAAATAGATATTATTAACTAAAATAAATATTTTATACTAATATTAAGCACTACAAAAATGATTATTGAAGATTTTTTTAGAAAATGGCGAACAAATGTTAAGAGTTAAAAGATTTTCCCATCAATTTTATAGTCATAAATATCAAAAATTAAAATACCATTTTTATATTTAATAGATTAATCTTAAAGAGTTATATATGTCATCAACATTATGTTTTAAATTTAATGATACGATTTATAAAAAGAATAATGATAATTATTTTTATAAATATTAAGAGTAATTAGTTGAATAAAATAAAATTTAAGGATCTTAAAACACAAAATATAAGGATTAATTTAAAAAATTTTCAAGAGACCAGGGAGCTAGCCTCAACGTGGCTCCGCCACTAAACTGCCTATTCGCCAACACCAACCCTCACTATTCCTCTCATGCTTTTCCCTTATCTAAAATCTAAACGACACAATTACACGTAAAACAAAGTAACAAACTCAACAAGTAGACCAAGCTCTTGACATAAACATGGGTAACTTAAGAAACAAACTAGAGATTTTTTTAAAAAAAAAATAATTTCTAGTTTGAGGTAAGTAATTGAGCTACATCGATCAATTAAAAATTAAAACAAAAAAGTCAACATCCTTATACTTGATCTATCAGTTATATTTATTATTTAATATATAATTAGTGCGTGTTAAACTCAACTTAAAAAAAATTAAGGTTTCAATTTATATTAAAAAGTAAATTTTCAATTCAAAAATTAAAAATTCACCATATTAAATATTAATACATAAAATTTAAAATTAATTATATATTTTAATATATATAATTAGTTTCAAAATCTAAATATAAGCATTTAATAAAAT